AAGCTTACAAGCAGCAGGTATTCCCAAGGGATCACCTACCTAGATACTGACCAGGCTCAGTACGAGAACCGGTGTTTCAACGTGATATGGCCGTATGCCTTCCAACCCGAGAAGTGCTCTTTGGAGACTTTGTGTCGCAGTGTACACCATTTTTCTGTTATCCTTTCTTCTAAAAAGTATGCATGAGTGCAAATAAGCCTTCGGTACTAGATTGAAATCATCTATATGGGTATCCGAGCCGTTCTGTTTTAAATTGAACTGTTGGGCCCCCATACATCGAAATCAACAGCAGAGTATACTTGTATATAAAACTGAACATATTATATTCGAAGTGAAATCATTCGTTCAAATATTTTATTAAATAGGATTGAATTTACTTCTCAGGAGTAATGATCCACGAAAATAGCTAGTTAACCATTTCATAAAAACAAGTAATATATAACACAGTTCGTTTAACGCCTAACAAAACCCTTTGGCCATTAAATTACTGCAATTTAACGCGTTTAAAGGCGAGCATATTTTGTAAACAGTGTGCATCATTATATATATATATAAAGAGAGTAACAATAGTTAACAGATAAAGAAAATTTGTAAGACTCATCTTTCCGATTTCAAGTTTGTAAATACACCACTAGTCAAAGTCAGATATATTTAATATATTAAGACATCATAATTTTATACGTTGCATAAAAAAAAACGCGTGACCCATACGAGTGGTCAATTTGGAATATTTTCATTTGTCCCCTCTTAGTTCAAATAATGACTGGCATTCATACTTCTTAAGTTCAAATATTTAACGCTTCAATAGTGAAACTTCCACCGGTATTTTGCAGTCGTGTAATTTGCAATGGACTTTTTTATTCATTAAATATTACTAGTTTTAACTCGTAAAATTTTAACAGTTTTCCCATTTGAATATTCTGATGAATCCTAATCTGAATCAGATCGTGGTAAATTCTATGAAATATCCATAGAAATTCCCCTATCACATCGTTAAATATTTGAGCTTAACAATTTTAATAAAAATATTGCAACAACAATCATAACTATCAATGGTGGCGCATTACGACGTGGTGTAATGGTTAACAAGCTTGTCTCGCTAGAACAATTACGACTGAGTAGCGAGTTCGATCCTCACTGGCCTTGAGCCATATCTAAGCTTAGCTTAGAAAATCATTTGGGCACTTCGACGTGGTGGAATTGTTAACAAGCTAGTCTCGCTAGATTAATTATGACTGAGAATTGAGTTCGATCCTCACTGGATGCACCATGCTTCTGGCCTTTTCCTTTTCCCTCTCCATATATGGTCAGCTAAGCCTGATTTTTCTGTTTCCCCTGGTGTTACGATTTTATGATGTTCTTGTAGTCTTACTTTAAGCGGGGCGGTCTGTTTCTTCGTTATATTTCACCACATCTGTACGGGGTGGCGTACACACAGTCTTTAGTCATGTTCTCCTCCATGAGGGGTTTTACTCGAAAAAGGTATCTGCGAAGTATTGAACCACTTTTGAAGGTCGTCCTAATGTTATATGGACCACAGATCTTTTGTAATTTTTTTTCTCTTTATGACGTTAAGTAAATCGAAAAATATGACAAAGAAACAACAAAAATCGTTAACTGGTTATCGCTTCTCGCACTTGCAGCTCAATCTCGGTTAAAAGATAAACGACTAGAAAGCGAATACTATTAGAGAATGCTGGTCTGATTGCTCTATAGTTTTATTCGCACGAAGAAATGTAATAACTGACTAAATTAATAGATGAACGACTTATAAGCCTAATATCAGAATATGTCTCATATAGTTCATTCGTTTTAGAACTTTGTCGTCGTTACAATGACATCGTTTTCAGATATTGTTCAAAACAGTCGTCTTGTCAACTTTTCGTAGGTTCTGTAATTATTTTTAATTAAAATTAAATCTTCCTTTGAGTTTCGTGGGCCGAGCTAACAATGTGAGACATAGACAATTCTTTATAGTACATAAAACTGTTGCCACTGTGTAAGAAAAGCCATATAATCGACAATATGTATGCACATTATACGTAATACCCTGTACATTCATGGCGCTTATATTCCCGACAGTTTCTTCATTAGCTTTCTAAAAATTAGGAAAATTTAAAACTGGCTTAATAGTATGGGGCATTATTGTTCGTTGTCGTCTCTGTGGCTATATGCATATGAGTGTCATTGAAGGTTTTTTTTTTATTTTATTTTATTTCATTCTTGGATTTAGCTAAGAAAAATATGTTTCAGCTGTGTTTTAGGAATTCCTAAAATTAGAGAGTAATTTCAGATCTCAGAATTTAAATCAGACTTCCCGTCTGTTAACTGTCAACACTTATCATCCAATACTTAATTCGCTTCCTTCTTTACCTCCTCGATACAAAGAAACTGCCGGACATTTTACCTGAGTCCTGTTTAGCGACCAATCAGCAAATAACTTGACGCTCGTATCATTTATGAACGGGTTTTTTTTTTTTTTTTTTTTAAATAGAAATCG